CCTTTCCTCCCTCCACACATTTGTGGAAGCCTTTCTCCTCACCAGCTAAGGGGAAACCTCTAGGAAATGTTTCATATTGGCAATGCAGAGTACCGTGTGAGGACTCAACGTCTGTTGGTCCTCTTAACTATCATGTCCAAGAGTCCAAGAGTGCTGCGCTTTGCAGATTATCTCCATCAAAAGTTAAGATATTGAATCTGAAACCAGATTGTGCAGGTTTTGGGGTTTATACCTAACACAGAGAGATGAACTACAGTATTTGACCTCTCATTTTGCTGAACTTTTGCTGTAATTACACTTTGCTGTAATTCATGCTTGTTGTGGATAAACTGATGTGTAGCCCAACCCTATGCACATTTACTAAGAAGCAAGCGCCACTGGGTTTAATTGGGTGCTTACTTCCAAACAAGCATGCATAGAATTGCAATGTGCTCCTGTTTGCTCACCACCACTTACCTGCTACAATTAAATGAGTTTCCAGATCAGGCTGCAGTCCTAAACCCACATGTAATCCAAGTCTATTCATGCTTACTCAGATGTCAATCCCATTGTGTAGAACAGGACATGCTCCCATTTGAGTGGGCATAGGGTGATAGCCATAGACACCTGCTTTGCAGTCAATTTAATGTACCGTATATCCTCCAATAAGAGCATAAATATATTCTCTTGGAATCTCAGCAAATTGCTAAGCCTAAATTGCAGGTAGAAGCAAGGCAACATCTTAAAAATTACACAAAAAGTAAAGGTAGCTTGGTTGGCTCTTACAAAAAAAATCCAAAGTCCATATGAGGGCTATATCTTTATTAGGCCAAGCAAAATGTCATTAAATAAGGTAGTGGAAAGCACCTCATTTGAATGTCTACTAGCTTCACCCACACCTCCAACTTACCAATGCAGGCATGGATGGCTTGAGTAACCCCAACAACCTTTTTCTCCCCTCATACCCCTTGAATTTTCAACATCTAATTTGATGAAGAGTTCTGTGGAACTTGAAAGCTTGCACACTATTTTATGACTTTTTGATTGGCCCAATAAAGGTATTTACCTCATAATTTCATAACTATAAAAATAACTTCATAATTTTTAAAACATGTATTTCTTTTTCACAGCCCTGTTCCTTCATTAATGTTCATCCTGAAGAGATTTTCCCCAAATCCCCTTACATTGTCAGCCTAGATGGATCTGTGTTCAGTGGAGTGGGCCATGATAGAATGATGTTGAATACATGGACACTGGTATTCCTCGTGTATTTGTTGAATGGCACATCCTGGCTACTGCATTAATATTAATATTTTCTTATACATGGAGGATTTATATTGATTTTATAGCTGCTTACCAGTTAGGGCTTCCTGGGAATTGTATTTGGTAGTCCCTTGATTTTCCCTTCAACTATAATTCCCACCATTTCTATCAAGCCTATTTTTCAGCCTGTAGCTGAGATAGAGATGATCCAACAGAAAAACAGCAAAGAAAAAGTGTAAAAGCCTTTTCCTTGAGGAGCTTAGTGAAACTTAGTAGATTTGATCTGGTCATCATGCAAAGTGATACTTGATCTCATCAAAAGTTTTCCCTTAACCATAACTGTAGATCACTGGTTAATCAATGTGATCAATATGCACAAAATGAACTGACATTTTAGTTGTCATGCAGATGCAAAAGGGACAGGTGATGATGAGAAAGAGAGCAATTGACTCAGACTATGTTTAAGAAGTCTGGAATTTAGACAATCTCATTGTGTTTTGATGTTGAAGTGAATTCATACACCAGTTATCAACTGGATTATTTGATCTAGGCTGGCGCTATCTTTCTCTTGTAGATATAGTTGGCCTTAGGTGTGATTAAGCTAGTCCTCACTTTTTTAAAAAATGAGCATTTTGGAAAGCTTTCTCATTTTTCCACTCATCCTGAAACCACCCATTACTAATGTTAAAGATGTGCTGGTCTAAAGCAATATGGAAGGGGGACAGATTGAGTTAATATTGAACTTTAAGCTGCAGTCTTATCCACACTTACCTAGGAATAAGACTCTAAATAGTGATATTTACTCCAGAAAAAGCCTGTATCTGACTGTACTGCAGGACTGCAATCCCAACTATACTAATTTTGGATTAAACCCCACTAAACTTAACAGGAACTTTATTCTGAGTAAACATGCGTTCTCCCATTTTGCCTGCAAGGCTACTTTGGTCAAGCCACGCCCACCTACCTCGTGTAGGCACCGCTGTGATAAATGACATTTGCAAAGGCACAGGGCTTTGTGAACGCTGACAATCAGCTGAACGTCAGCGCCTGCAAATTCCTGTCCTTTAGCGTGCATTATTTGATTCCAATCTACGTGGGCAACGAGAAAAAGGATCACCTGACACTATGACATCAATCGGTCGAAAGCTGGCCAGCATATCCACATGTCAGATTTGACCCGTGGAGCGATGGGTGGGGAGGGGAGGTTAGGATCTGGCCAAATCCAGCTCCCCAACCGTCACGTAAAGGACTAGGTGTGGCCTGTGAAAAACCGCAAGAACCTACCAGTGTTTATCGCGAATTCTCATCAAGCACAGTAGGTCTTTCTTCCAAAGAGGATTGGTTTGGGATTAGGTATTTACCAACCAATAGACCTAAATGCATAAACTAAAAATGAAGTTATGATAGGAGTGGAGGTGGTGAAATCGAGTAAAAGGAAGAAATTTGAAATACATAGTGAAGCTTCCAATCCAATAAAGTACCTTTACTCTTAAATACGATTGCCTTAAATGGGGCTTACTCTTAAGGACTGTAGCATCAATCTACAGAAATGACCAGCTTTATTTGCCTGTTTTCGCTGCAAGGTGCAGAAAAACTTTCAATTCACCACCCGCTTTTCCTCCTACCATCGGTTTACCGTTTGTGAGAGGGCAAAGTGCGAAGTTACATCTGTTCCCGCACCTCTTTATCTCGCAGCTTGGAAGAAATTAACACGATCAGTTCCTAAACGCAAGAGAAAGTCACCGGCCCAATTGTTCCCTTGGGATAAAAAGGGGGCGGTTCGGATGAACCATTCCAATGAGTTCAAGCTAAAGGGGATCTAGTTTTGAGCCGAAATTGGCACGACCCAATTTCTTGCACACTAGTTTCTGACAGTTCGGTTGACCGAATTGTCCTAGTGTGATTTCAGTTAATAGACCAATTGCTTTGAAGCGTCTCTTTTCTCTTTTGATCGCCTTTGACTGAATCTGCAATCGTGAAATTAGAGCTAGGAAGGAAAAGGGGTGCTTTCTTTTTTCTTCTCTTTCCGAAATAAAGGTCTCTTTCAAGTGCTGCTCAAGAAACTGAGAAAGGGGAGAGGGAAAATACTTACGAGATGATTTGTAAGTAAGACTGTTTTTTAAATGGCACATAAACTAATTATTTTTGAAGAAAATAATCTCCAGTATCCTCTTCCGTTTCAAGCTCAAACGTACAAGGACAAACTCTTCGTTACCCCAAGCAAAGGGAGGCTGTGTGTCCAGACTGGAACACACAATCTCACTAGTGGTGATGTTTTCTAAAATAACATTTTCTTTTTCTTTTTCTTTTTCTTTTTACGGTGCTGGTGTTTTTCCAATACGAATGTGGGACGGGGACCTCAAAGGAAGAGATGAGGAAATGATCAAGGGAAATCAAAATCAACCTGATTTAATCTGGAACGCTTGATTTCATTCGGCGGGCGCCTTGCAGATAAACTTAAACCCATCACGGGACAGATAACTCCTCTTCTTTTCCTAGAACTTGATCCTCCTTTGCAGAGTGGCATTTGCCAACCTGGTCCGACCCTCCCCCCCGCCAGTGCTTTAGACCCCAACTCTCAGCCCCAGCTAACACGACCAGTGTTCAGAGATGGTGGGAGAGCGCAGTAACAGCAGGCGGGCACCAGGTTGACAACGGATTCCTTCTGAAGTACACCCCCAGCCTGGATCAAGCGTTTTGGTGTCCTTACACAAGGTTGTGACTGGGATCACAATCTACCTACACCTCCTACCTGTTCTTCCCAAACCTGTTCATTTATTGCCAGAAATTTTTTAAGCGGTAAACTCACTATTTTGAGAGGAAAGGCAGTTGGAACACCGCCGTCCCTTATTTTCAAACCAGCTGTAGTGGATAATCAAATTATTTTGCAAAGAAATACCCTTTCTAAAAGGGAAGCTACCTTTTACTAGATCCCCGGGACCTATGAGCCAAAGCCTCATTGGGGGAAGGCAAGAGAGCCCGAGTTTCGGAGTTGCAGAAGGGGGTGGAGTGGAAAATTCGTTTGCACGCAAATCTCCTCTTGACTGCCTTCAGCTTTTTTCACTTCAGCGGTTTAGTTTAGCAAAGAGTAGCGAGGGGAAAGAAAAATCGTGCGACCCCTGCATCTAGAGCCCTGCTTTAGTGACTCCTCTGGAAAGCTCTCCAGCTGTAGGGAGAAATTGCCTGCATTTAAACAAACTTTCTGAAGTATCTGAAATAGTATTACTGTATTTGGAAAGCAGTGGGGTGGGGATCTTGAGGTTCGAGTGCCAGTCAGATTAGAGTTCAGTAATTGTATGTTCATGTTTACTGCTTTGGAAGATGTCGAGTATCATCGAACTCTCCCCCAAAGTCTAATACCTTTAATATGCCCCCTTATAATTAGAGATATTGGCTGGAGGTAAAACCGACTCTGCTTTATACACATCTCACTCTACAACCTTCCAGCTTCTAGGCAGAAGTCTTATTAAAAGTGCCTACTCCATGATCCTTGTAGCAGCACCGAGGTGACCAGACAAGGAGTGTGAAGTGCGAATTGTTTGACCAGCTCTCCGTTCTCCTGTTTGGCACAGAGGAATCTGCCTCGGACCAAGCCAGACCATTGACCCATCTTCCTCCATGTTTTCTACACTGACTGGCAGAGACTCCCCCCCCAAGATGTTGCGAGCTGAACGGGGACCTTCTGCTCTACCTTCCGCAAAGGTGTTGGGTATATTTATATAAACACACGGCGAAGCCCGCAAGAACGACACCATCACTCTAACCACCTGAGTTATTTTATTGCCGAGCTGTTTCCAAGTCAAACGTCTACTGGGGGTTCCCCAAGTCCCACCCCCTTCTGTACAAGGACCCCTTGAAGGAAGCGGGTTCGGAGGCGAAGGGCGAGTTGCCTCGTAGTGAGCTCTAAGGGCAGCCTCGCTGGCTCTGTCCGATGTGGAGGTTACAGCAAGAAGGAAAGGGGGAAAGGGGAAACGAAGGCTCCAGCGGGTACTTTAAAAAAACAAAAACCCGCTCAAAGTTCCCAGGCCCGGTTTCTAAAAATGTTTCAGTCAATAAATTACAATAAATAGAACCGAGGGATCCAGTCCGCTCCTGCCTCTATTCCCGTCCGCAGAGTCCCTCTCACAGCTCCGGATAGCCTCCCCCTCCTCCCGCGGCTGCGCAGTAGTAAGCGGCGGCAGAGTTCGCCTCCGAGGCCTCGTGGCTCGCGTAGGGAGGGAGGCCCAGTTCGCCGGGCCGGCAGCCGAAGGGCAGATACTGCTCGAACTCGGCGCGGTCCACGTCGGCCAGCAGCTCCACGTCATGCGGGGGAAGGTGCTCCAGGCCGACGGCGGCGTCTCCTCGACGGCAGGCTTGCTGCTGCTGTTGCTGCGCGGGATCCTGAGCAGAGGCGTAGGCGGCCACGGGAGCCGCGAAGCGGGCGCGGAAAAGCCCGGCGCTGCTGCCCGCAGGGGCGCCGTTGCAGGGGTACTCGGCCCCGGGGGGCGTCGGGTAGCCGTAGGGCCCCAGCAGGCAGCCGCCTTCGTCGGGCTGGTGAGGCGGGAAAAAGGCGGGCTCCGCGCAGGCGCCGCTCTGCGACTCGGGCTCGGGGGTGGGCAGGTTGTAGCTCCCGAAATGGGCGCCCAGAGCCGGCAGCGGGAGAGGCGCACAGTCTCGGTAGTGGAAGTTCCCGCCGGGGTAGCCCGGCTGCTCGGGGTACGGGAGGCCCAGCCCCTCGCAGCCGCTGCCCGCGTCCATGGACAGCCCCAGCTGGTGCTGCGGGTGGTGGTGCTGTTGCTGCTGCGGCACCGGGAGGAAACCGCTCCCGCCTTCGGCCGCGCCGTCGCCGCGCTTGAGGCGCTTCACCTGCTTCCTCCGCCGCGGCCGGTACTTGTAGTTGGGGTGGTCGCGCATGTGCTGCAGCCGCAGCCGCTCCGCCTCCTCCACGAAGGGCCGCTTCTCCTCCTGGGTCAGCGCTCGCCACGACTGGCCTGTCAGCGCGAAGAGAGAAGGGGGAAAGAAGGTTTCAAACAGGCGCCCACAATTCAGCCTCGGCTGCCAGTCATTCCCCCCCAAACCTCGCCACACTCTGCCCGCTGGTCTTCCCTCAGCCAGGCAGGAAAACAAGTCAATGGACAACGCAGTCCTAACACTGAAGTTAATCCCATACAGCCCTCATCCCAAACCTCGGCACTCTCTTTGCCCGCTTGGCGCGGACTTTCCCTCAGGCAGGAAAAAAAGTCAACTGACAGTCCTAGCAATGCCTACTCAGAAATGGATTCCGTGCTCCAAGGTAAATGGGGATACGACCATTGCCTCCCACACCACCTCACAGCCTTCTCTGGGATGGGCAATCTGTGGCCCTTCAGGTGTTTCTGGATTCCCAGCTCCCATCAGCGTGAAACAGCCATTATTGGTCAGCGGTGATCGGAGCTGAGGTCCAGCAACTTCCGATGGGCCACAGGTTTCCACGCTCCTCTCAGCAGGGTGTAGGCAAGAGGGATGCGCCTTAGTGGACGCACCTCTTCGGAGCCGGGTCGGTTGGTTCTGGCTTTCGGGAGGGGGCGGTTCAGGCTGCAGTGAGGTAGCCAGCATTTGAGGGACGACCACAAGCAGCTTGCTTAATAACTAGAGTCTATTTGACACTTGTATCCAAGCTTAAAACAAGTGTAGCCCCTTCGGGAGTCGGGATGGCAGAAGCCTAGTTTATGTGGATAAACAAGGGCAGCTGGCCGGCCTCCTCGCGCCCCAAACCCAGCAGCTGAGAGGAGCAGCGCCGGCATTGGGAAGAAACGCAGGCCAGCCGCCCTCCTGGTTGCGAAAGAGTATTTCCCTTCCCGTTCCCTGTGCCAAAAACGCACGTCGGATTATAGCAATGTAAATAAATATGTCGCTGGAATCTGAATCTTGGCCGCCGTCGGACCTTCCATTAGCTATGTCGAGGTTTAAGCCTTTTCAGCCCTCCTGCTCCCGTGCTGCCCTCTTAACCAGACCTTTGGAAACTCCCTCATGCCACCCTGCCTGCGTGGGGGGCGGGATCGAGGGCGAGAGCGGCCTGGGAACTGCTGCTCTGCCCCGTGCGCTCCAAGCTCCCGAGTTACTCCTTCCCAGAGAAGGACCCTCCTCTTGCGGAGATGGCAGTTGCTTTGGGGTGTGCTCCCGCGCATAAAGGCCAACTCCTAGGGGTCGACGTCCCTTTGGCGCCCCCAATAAAATATTGGAGGGGGCCGACCCTCCCCCACGTTGATGGGCATAGCCTTTCACATGGTGTGCTTGCCCCACGTCATGTGATCGATTATGCGGGTAGGGGCTTACCTGCGCCCCCCCATATATTTTATTTAAGTTGACACATCTGCTTTCACGCAGCTACTTGGAACCTCCTTGGATTTACTTCCAAGGGAGCATGCGTGGGATTGTGCTGTTAACTCTGTTGTAGGTAACAACAGCAAGGTCTAGGGACTTTCTTTGACACTGGCATCTTACAGTCTCCCCCCCTCCCGTTGCCAAGCCTCCCGGGCACTTACCCAGCATCTTGCTGAGCTCGGCGTTGTGCAGATCTGGGTTCTGCTGCGCCAGCCGCTTGCGCTCGTCCTTGGCCCAGACCATGAAGGCGTTCATGGGGCGGCGGATGCGCGCTTCCCCTTTGGCCCGGCCCGGGCCGCCTTGCTGGCCTGCATCGGCGGCGGCGGCCGCCTCGCCCTTGCCCTTGCCCTCCGGGCTCAGCGACTCTGCCCACGGACACTGCATCATGAGCGGAGGAGGGAGCGAGCACCGTCCTTGGTCGTCGCTGCTGGCGTATCCAGCATCGGGGCTGCTCATTGCCACGCTGCTCCGCCGGACCCACCCGCTCCTTGCCCTCGATCCTCTTCCTGGCGCCCCCGCAAGGCAAATCGGGATGGCTTGCTGGAAGGAACGCTTGGGAGAGACTCCGAGCGACACTCAGGCGGTCCGCGCTGGCTCTCGACTAGCTGGCGGCCGGCACCGCGCGGCTTCGTTTAAACTGAGCCCGGGCCAATCGGCTTCGTGGGCGGGGCCGGGGACTGTCGCAGCGGGCGAGCAGAGGACCAGTTCCATCTGCAATTCACCTGTATGGGAGCTGGCCAGGAGTAACCTTTCCAGCGACAAGTGGATTTTTCCATGACTTGGGGCTACGTGGAAGTAAATTCCATTGAGATCAATGGGATCTACTTTCAAGTTAAGGGCGATTGGGCTCGGAATGAGAGAGACCCGAAGGTGACTCGTTACAGGTGACCGAAGAGGATGTTTTTGCTTGGGATCACGCTATTTAAATAGTTTGTTTTTATGGGAGGGAAAATGAACCACTTTCGACCTATTTTATCTGTTTCCTGTCTGCTGGACGTGTTTTCTAGACAGGAAATGTCATTGGTAAATCTGATGGAAGAAATACATTTTGAGAACGGGCTTTAAGAAGTGCATTTATAATATTTAAGCGTTACATTTGTACATGATACGTTATCGTGTATCATAATTCGTTAAGTTTTTGTATCGCATGGGTACACGCACACAAATGGACTCTAAATATATATATATTGTAAATGCAAGTATCATATTTATTACGGAAAACTATGCTCTAAATGTACTTCTTTTGTTTCTCAAACTGCTGCTGATGTTTCAGTTGGTATAATTAATTCAGAGTACTTGAACTTTAACTGGTTCATTTCCGATTATTTCAACAGCAGGAACTCAAGCACGTTTTAAAGGGTTTAAGTTTTTTCGCACTTAAGGGATTTCTAACATTTCAGCACAATATTATGCAATGCGTTTTTTACGATGTACATTAATGCACAAAATTAACAAGAGTATCACCTACTAATTTTTAAATGCTTTAAACCTTGTAACCTGCTCTGCGACTTGCTGGTGAAGGGCAGGTAATGACTTTAATCATCACCATCGTCATCATCACACCACCTGCCAAACCACTATTGTTAACTCAACATTGCGCGGTCATGTAGGGGGTAATGAAAATCTAAGACACTTGCTTCAAAGAACCGGAAGTAAACTATACTGATTCCAGCGAAAAGGACTCCCAAGTGTAGCTGTAGGTTAGTATTTACGTTAGAAGGCGATGCTAGTAAACGCACTGATGCTTACATGCTTTGAATTTGGATCTAATATTTTTTCTGAAATCAATGGTGCTTATTTCAGCGTAGTACCTTCTTCCCTAAATAGCCTTACTGGAAAATAAGCTCCACAGCGGGACTTGCTTCCGAGTAAGCATGTATTGAGTTTCGCTACAAGGCTTGGTGTGGCCGTCTGGACAGCTTCAGCCAAAACCAACATTCAGGTGAACGTAGTCGCTCCTTGCCTTAACTCAGCCTCGCCAACTTGCGCTTCCTGCAGAATGCAATTAGTTGTTTTTCTTTGACCATTTAGTTATTTTTATTTGACTATATCGTAAAGGTTCCCCCTGATCCTGAAGCCATTCCGAGTTTAGTGTTTAGAATCGAGATTCCCAGGACCACTTGGCTGTGAGTCAGCCTAGTTACTTTGGATCCAAGCTGTGGGTCAAAACGCCGCAGGATTGGATTTTGCAAAATTCCAGTGTGAAAATAATTCGTGGATCAAGATGTCTGAGATACTGTGCAATTAGGCTTATATACTTTGAACTCTATATTTATTTATTTTATTTTAAACCCCCAAATTATATTTTTTTTGCCGCTGAAAAGGAACGAAACTCTCTTGAAATGCTGGTGATACTTTCTGTCTCATCTTACTAGCCATTACCTAGAAAACACTTCGGGATTCCCCGTCAAAATATTTATTCCGCTTAATAGCGGGACTTCGCCATGCACAACCTCAGGAAAGCGCAGAGCGCCTGAGTGCTTTGTTAGGAAAGTATCTTTGACCCTGCGGCAGACGTTACAGAAACAGCTTCAGAGGAAACAGATTGCTTCTCTGTGGGACATTTACGTACATTGCGCTAGAGAGCCTTCAGCCCCGCATCCCACGACGTCTGCGTAAACTGCGATCCACAAACAACTGAGGCCAGATTGTTTGCAGTTCAGACCGATCTGAGGTCAAGGGGATTGTTGCATTTTAGAGCATTTTTTAAATTTTACTGCAAGCGAAGTGCATTGGGTCCCTTGTATGTGCGAGCCACGCGCTCCGGCGGGTCGATCCAGCAGTCACTTGTCTCTAACCCGGTTGTTGGAAGGTTCTCTGAAGAACCTCAGCATCGCCCTTACACCGAGTCAGACCATTAGTCCATGCAGCTTAGTATTAATGTACCTCCCTGACAGACAGGCCACTGTCGGGGGGGTCTTTCCAAGCCCCGCTCGGGGTATGCCAGGAATCGAACCTGTGATGTGGCAGGCCACACACCGCCTTTAGGGACTTGAGTTTTTTGTTTCATTTTGTTTTCGAAAATCAAGTTCAGGCCACAGCAAATTTTCCGTTCCCGATTCAGCGCCCTAGGATGAAAGGCAGAGAAAGGCGTCTTTCGAACTCGGCTCAGAACTTCCGAGCGAACTCTTGGCAGAGATCCTCTGGGAATTCAAGGATCCGGAGCGACAGAAGGGGATGCGGATCTCGGGAGAGGTACACCCCCTAGAGACCCGCAGTTCCCTCGCACCGGTTTATGTGCAAGGACCTGGCCGAAACCGGCACCGCAAATCTATTTGCTTGCGCGCTCCGATCCTGGACACGCGACTGTGGAAATTAAATCCCGCAGCAATCGCGATCGCTTTGAAGTTTGGGATCAGGCGATCTATCGGCACTGACTGCCCCTTGCCAAGCACCGTCCAGTTTCGTTGCGTTGGGCTAGTGCTGCCTGCATTTCACTCCAAAGGAGTCAAGACCGGAGTAAGACCAGTGAGATCTGAATGTGCCCAATTTGGGAAAGTCCCCACGTGCTCCTCGTAACCCAAACCCCGAAAAGTGCTGCTGCTGTGTCTCCTCTCGGCCCGGGATCCCGTGTTTCCCTTGGCCCCCAGACCCAGCGGGAGGGGGCTCCCTTTGGGGACAAAGTGACCTTTTCAACTCGCGGCGCTGGAGCAGGGAGAGCGAGCGCCCTTTGCTCAGAGACGCCGCCTTTCTATTTCCACCGTTTTCCCAAGCGCGGCGTTGAATGGCTGCGGATCTGCCCGCCACGTTATCAGAGCCGGCCACAAATGCCACATGAAAAGCAGCAAACATCCGCAGGGCTTCCTGCAAGGCGCGCTGGCTCGCAAGACAAGCTGGAGGGAAGAAAGGGAAGGTGGGTGGGTGGCCCCCGCACGGGGCGCGGGGGAGGAGGTGCGCCTACTATATATCACCGCACACATTGCTCGGGACAATATTCGACGCAATGTACTGCACACACACACACGCGCGCGCGCACATGTAATAGAGACAATACCTGGTGTGCGCACATGCATATACGTGTGTGTGTGTGTGTGTGTGTGTGTAAGAGAGAGAGAGAGAGAGAGGTGGGGGGGTGTCCACTTCTGCAACAGACCTGCTGCCAAATAAGTATATTTATATTGTGATAGTTTCTATGGAGCAGTATTTCCATATGAACAGGACTTGCAAAACCGTCAGTGAAAGCAGGAGGGTAATAAATGGTATAGGGAGAAACACCCACTGTGAACCCGACAATGGCAGTTGTTCTTGTCACTGATTTCCCCATAGATAGCAGCAATCTTGACAGGAAATCTGTCAGTGACTATCAGAACCCCTCTTCACTTCTCCCTCCATCATCCCTGAGCTAAACTAAACTCTTCTAATTAGCTGCCTAAGCTTCTAATTAGTGGAGTAGACTTTGCTCTTAACACACTGTTAAACTGTAGTTCACAGTTGTTTGGAAATACTTAAAAAGTTCATTTTCTTATAAAAGTGGAGAGTAAAAGAAATAAACTAACATAATTATATGTATACCTACTTAAAAGTGATGTCTTCCTGATTTCAGTGGGGCTTACACTCTACTTTATTTCAATGTGGCCTAGGGCTGCAATATGGTTTGTGGGCTGCAATCCACAAACTGGAACAGACTTCAGCAATCTCAGATTTAACAGACAGACAGGGCACAATCCACAGTTTCTTACACCCAAACCCCAAAACATGCTGAGTGTTTATTCTATTTTATATCCTGCCCTCCTTCCAAGGAATTCAAGGCAGGGTGCTTGGTTGTTCCTTTCCCTATTAGTGTTCTTACAACAACCCTGTGAAATTAAGACCAGTCCTTGTCAGACACTACATCACACTGGCCATCTAAGTCATAAAGAGTTTAGGATTGCGGTGGCATTCATCAGTGTCTGTGGAACTGTGTGATCTCTTCAAGGTTGCAGTCAGAGACTTTAATGGAAATGCAGCACAATCCTATGTATCATGATTTTGCAGAAGATGAACTGAGTGATTCAGAGGGGTTTGCATTCAAGATACACACGACTGGGGACTGCAGCACTGACCATTTCTAGGTTTGTGCAATCTGATGTGGTACGAGAGAGAGAAAGAGACCATGGTGTTCAACATGGTTTAGGATTACTGCTCCAAAGCAAAATTATTATTTTCAAAGAAAATAATATAGCCAGGGCTAAACACGGAGTCTCATGTTTTAATCCAGGGGTAGCTAAACAATAGTCCCCTGGATTTTGCTGGACTAAAACTCCCATCTGCCCCAGCCAGCATGCCCAATGGTCAGGGATTATCGGAGTTGCTGTGCAACAAGAGATGACAGACCACAGGTGGCCACTCCTGTTTTAATAAGAAGTCAGTTGAAACTTATTCCAAAGTAAATGAGTTTTGGATTACAGTCATGAAGTATATACATATTTACTCAGAAGTAACACAGTGTTAATAGGGATTACCTTCATTGAAACATGCTAGAATTTCGTTGCATATTTTTACTTATTTCAGGATCTATATGACAATCTCCATTTGACTAACGTCTGGGCAGTTTAAAGAAATACCAAAGGCTAGAAATGAGAGGAAAGAAAATGGCATCTCCAATACAATCTTATTTATTGATAAGTCTGGGGAGGGAGGATGACATAATATGATCCCTGACCATTAGCCATGCTGAGTGGGGCAGATGAGAGCCAGAATCCACCAACATCTGGAGCGTCCCATATCACCTATGGTGATCATCATACTTCCTCATGATGTGTCTAGTCCAGATCTATGGCTAGTATCTTGCTAAGTTACACTCAGAGGAGACCCACTGAAATTGTTGTTGTTTAGTCATTTAGTCATGTCCGACTCTTTGTGAGCATGCCAGGCACTCCTGTCTTCCACTGCTTCCCACAGTTTGGTCAAACTCATGCTGGTAGCTTCGAGAACACTGTCCAACCATCTCATCCTCTGTCATCCCCTTCTCCTTGTACCCTCAATCTTTCCCAACATCAGGGTCTTTTCCAGGGAGTCTTCTCTTCTCATGAGGTGGCCAAAGTATTGGAGCCTCAGCTTCAGGATCTGTCCTTCCAGTGAGCACTCAGGGCTGATTTCCTTAAGAATGGATAGGTTTGATCTTCTTGCAGTCCATGGGACTCTCAAGAGTCTCCTCCAGCACCATAATTCAAAAGCATCAATTATTTGGCAATCAGCCATCTTTATTGTCCAGCTCTCACTTCCATACACCACTACTGTGAAAACCATAGCTTTAATCCATTAATTTCAATGGATCTGTTGTGAGTATGACTAGTACTGGATATGAACCCATGCTTCTTCATAGCCTTGTTTTGTAAAATGTTGGCAAATTTCATCTCAATTTAATGACAAGAAGTAGCCCACAATATCAGTGTTCTGCTTAGCAATAGGTAATTTGTTCAGAAATCCAAAATCTGGCTTCTCAACACCAGATGGATGCAGCAGCATGTCATTATTCAGTGGTGAGCAAAATTATTCTGCATATGTTCAGAGGTGCTCTCTTCAAGACAATTTCAGATACAGTGGTACCTTGGGTTAAGCACTTAATTCATTCCGGAGGTCTGTTCTTAACCTGAAATTGTTCTTAACCTGAAGCACCACTTTAGCTAATGGGGCCTCCTGCTGCTGCCGCGCCGTCGGAGCACGATTTCTGTTCTTATCCTGAAGCAAAGTTCTTAACCTGAAGCACTATTTCTGGGTTAGCGGAGTCTGTAACCTGAAGCGTATGTAACCTGAAGCGTATGTAACATGAGGTACCACTGTACTTTGGGACTGAGAAGTGGCACAGTAGTTAGATCCCAAGACTCAGTGCTGTTGATTCTTGCCTCAGATTAAGCTGCAGAACAGGCTGATATTGATCTAGTTGTCAGGTAATTAATGTTTGGTGTAAAAAATTGTTCCCTGGCCTGATTGATTGGGGATGGAAAATCTCCACTCCGCTTCTTGAAGTATTAGTGTCTTTCAGATCAACAGATTCCCTTTGAAACTTGTTTGCTTGAAGGGAGGGGAGTCAGACAAGAGTTAGCTCTTGGAGCCACATCCAGAAAAGGGGATTTATTTATTTTTTAAATGGGAGAGGTTGCTAATACAACCTTTAAAAAAGATTGTTCTCAGCTGCCTACACTAATACAAGTTTTAAAAACTTTAGTTGAAGCATAATACAGAGAAATCAGGGGAAAATAAGGAGAAAATGGGCATACAAAGTATGTATGTTTATATATAGATGTATTTAATTTTCCATACGTGATACACAGAAAACAAAGCAGACACACCAAACAACAGTAACAGCTGTAGAAAAGAGAGACTGTAAATAATATGTTAAGCCATTTATTAAATTGCTTCTGTCAGCGTATATGGGTGAATATTATCTTGTTTCATAACACAGCTTCTCCATTTTTCAATAAATAAATTATTGGGTTGTCTGCCTTTCCTAACTCTCACTACATATGCTAATTTTACCATGTGAGCCAAATCCCACACTTTGAGGATTCAATCTAACATGGAGATTTGTGACTTTTTCCAGTTGTAGCATATTGCTTTGCAGGCAGCTGTTAATAAATCAAGTGTATTGTCAATTTTATATCCACTTGTAAGACTGGCTCCTCAATATACCCAAACATTGTATCAATGGTTCTACTGCTAATTCATACTCTGTTCTAAGTTTAATTTCATTTCCTATAATTCTTCAGAAGATGTATGTCAAGCCTGTTTTAAGAGGGAGACAATATAATCAGAAACTGTTTTACCTCCCTCAGTTTAGAGGCATTTTGTGCATCAGTTAAGCTAAAAACTTCCCAGTTCTAATTTGCAGATCTTTTGTGCAATCTTATTTTGTGCTCTTCTAAATACAGTTAGGCTGGACTCACTATTCCCATGGACTCACAAAGGAGAAATGTGACTTACTTCCAAGTTGAAGCAATTCTGGTTAAGTAATGATAGGAGGCAAACTGCGAAAGTTGCCCTCACCCACACCTGACGTTTGTGCATCTCATCACAGGAGAGATGAGTGAGGCACCCCAATTCAAAGTGCTGGTCACATATATACCTTCCAATCCCTAGGACTGGCTGGGGAGGCTTTCATCCCAATACCTTCTTTCAGGGAAATCAAATCTACAGGTACTCAGTGGTGGTCCCACAATTCTAGAACTGTTTATAATTTTTGATGGGTGTAGCAATTTTGCACTCTGTTTATATGCTGTTGAATTAAAGTCAGATAGGGTTTTAGATGTTTTTGTTGATTTCAGGAAAAAAATCCTTCGAGCTTTTCAAGAAAAAACTGCTCATACAGTTTATAAAGAAATAATATTTCAAACGGATATGTTATACATAAGTGTTGATTAACTCATCTACCTGATAAACAGCTTTGAGGCAGAAGAGAACTTTTCCCCTGTCTCAACTACAGACATGAACATAAATCCTGCACATGGCACTGGCACCAGCTGCAATCTGGTAGTCTCCCAAGGAAGATCACAAAGTGTTCAAGGTTATGCTTTAAGCCAGAATCAACAAACCTCTCCTAGTTTCTTCACTGTACAACTTGTGCTGACTAATTATGTGAACAGGTTGCTGTATTAGAAAAAGTTACTTGTAAGAACAAAATTTGCAACCACTGGACTATTGAAAATTGCCACTTGAACACACAGTGTTTTCAAACAGGATGCGTATGGAGATATGCAAACCCTGTTTATGGATATTTACCAGAATATCATATCATATCATATCATCTATATATATTGTCAGGGATACCCTGTTATTTGATCTGCTGCTCTGGATTTGTCATCTGTCCTGCTCATTGGCTTCACCTGATGGCTGCTGGTATTCCTGTTCTAGCTGCCACATTTTGACAGATATAACCAGGATCATCAGGCCATCCAAAGCATCAGTGAAAAATGATGAGAAGTAGTGATGAGAGGGAGAAGGGAGGGGAAGAGAGAGTACCAGTTGACATGATCATCAGAGAAACCTGATAGAAGAATGGCTGCTTGTTGGAGAGGAATGTTCCTCACATGTTCTGTCTTAGGATGGGAACTTTTTGGGAGG